TTATTTAATTAGTTTTACATTGTCTAATTTACTTAGGTTAAAGATTAAGTTAAGCAGTTCATAAAGCAGGCTTACAATCCTTCATGCCGTGTAAGTGTTCGTCGTCTTGATCAACTTCCAATTCCAACATCCGCCGACTGAAGACCACAGCGCTTGGCTTTCTTGATTTATCGCATTCTTTCCTTGTACACAAACTCTTCCGGAGGACTCCATAGTAAACTCTGTATTCTCTATCTTCTTCCTCTCTCGACTATCGTCTTTTTCATCTCTTTCTTCTCTCCGGATATCGCAAGGTCAAAAGGTCATAGCCTCGTCATATCATAGCTTCCAAAAGTTCAGTCAGCAAGCCACGAGGGTAAGCCCTCGGGCAAATCTCTTTTGTACTTCTCACAAGCCAGCTTTTATACATTTACTTTAGTTATCTAGAATGTTCTATTACTATTTATAGCGTATTACAAGTTGTACTATTTTTGGAAACTGCTGAGTCACATGAAAGAAGTTTCTGGAATATTACAGATTATAGATAATTCTAGAAAAGTCTGGGATTGCGTGACAGATTCAGTAAAAATAATTCGATCCTCGTAACAACCCTCTTTAAATAAAGTCGATTATTATTATTATTATTATTATTAGTTTACCTAACCTACCTGGGGCCCCCTACCCTCATGTAAACAGACCCTTAATTGAATAACTAAGACAAATCATGAGGTAACTCCAAAGGCATCAGGAGGGTCCAAGTTCACATAAATTTACGTTTAGTTTAAAAAAAAAATAAAATGAGTATAACCAATCCTCTTTAAAACCAAAGGGTGCTTTCTTTTGGGATGATCCAGAGCAGGATTTTTTATTCGAGGTCACTCGTATTGTTTTCATTTGATCAGAACACATCAGGGATAAGTGTAAGTTAATGGTTGAGTACATCTTTTGTTTCTTTGACGACATTCGTGGTGACTTGCACATAGCCTGGAACAACTCCGGAGTGGAAACCATCACAGGAATCTATTTAGTTGGGGAGCTCTCTAAACAGAGTTTGATGTGAAGTCTTGGCAAAGTTCGCTTTCTTCTGGTAAGCTTATCGGCACAATAATTCTCTTTTTAAGAGCGCACCCAAAATGTAAAACTGACCTGACTGGTTCTTGTTAATCAACTTTTATTTCAAAGCACGCTGGGTGTCTGGCTGTATTGTGGTTTTGCTTTCTTGCAAGTTACAGACCAAAATGGTTTGAATGACTCCGAGTGCAATTATCTTGTGCAGTTGCTTTCGCGCTTTTTGCTTTCTCGCTAACATGTATGTTTAAGTAAATCATAATTGTTCAACTACTTCCAAGTTTTTTCCCATACATTCCTCACGCGAAAAGTTGCCAATACGAAGCAAAGTTTAGCAAGACTTCCATTCCACGCAGCCCCATTACTACATTATACATACAGTTCTCGGAAAAAGAAATTAACAACGAAAACGATAGTTTGGGCTTAGTTTCGAAAAAATTATGGAGAAATGTTTTGCGATGATCATTTCACCACAAATTTGCATGATTTGAAGACAGTTTTTTTGTTCACAAAGTAGTTACAGAGAACAATGAAAAGTAAACATCCCAACTAGTTTACTGTTCGTAAATATTCCAGCCGCGTTTTGCAAAATTATTTAAAGGATGAAAAACACAATCGCTTCCCTTTGGTTCGAAATTATGCCTGTACGTACTTTGTCCTTAGAAATTCCGCTACCTGTTTTATATTGTCAAGAATATAAATTTGAACTGATTTGCCGGACTCATCTAGTATCAAAATAATCTATGGAGCGGGAACGTGATTCAGATAACAACTGAAGTCGAAAATTTGAATACGAACCATAAAATTAAGGTCATGCAGCGGTCCATTCTACATAGGAAAAATTTGCTGATAGCATTTCCAAAGTATTTCTGAATAAGTAAAAATTGCTCGTGTAGACGGGGCTTAACAGACGTTTTCCTACCAAACAGTCAACGGCGGCAGACACACTTGAAAGGGCCTGAATCATGTGCATACCAAGAGCTTAAACTAAGGCTGAAAGTTTCTTAAGAAACTGTGGTGCTGCGTCGGTGTGGGTAACAAGGTAATTTGGTTATATCAACTGAGTTAAAATTGTAAATTGGCCACCGTAACGAATCAAAAAAGCTAAGCTTAATTGAACCGCCATAAAAATTCAAGGGCATTGATGTTATTGTTTTCAAAGAGCCCCCGTTTGTCTCTCTTTTTCTGTCCCAGAGTTTTAGAATTCATTTATTTTAAAAATGTGTTTCGAGACTCTCAGGTCCCTTTTCATTCGGCGTGGTGATCATGAAGAGGTCCCTTTTCATTCGGCGGGATGAAGACAAGGCCTTGAGGAAAGCAGGAATGAACATCAATAACACCGATATGAGGGATTCGCGATTTGCTTAATTTTGGAGTTGTTGTGTACATGTAGTCAGTGAACTGAGACGTAAATCCGCAAGGTATTTGCAGCGGATAAGTTGAGACGCAGTCGAGGGTTTACTTTCGAGAATTCCTCCAGCCCATCCAGTTTTTAGTCCTCCATTGCTCACATAAAACATTTCTCAGAAAGCACCGAAGACGTAACGTCACAACCATGTTTACGCACTCCCATGAGAGCGCACGTATCCTAAATATTTTTAAGAGGCGAACTGAACCTTTGCGGATTACATTAGGAGTTTATTTTTGTAATGAATAGGTCACTGTTCTTGATCATAGGAGATAAGTTGGAAAGCGAGCTGGCAAACAATTGTGGAAACTTCAATCTGAAGGAAATTATGGTTCCATGCCGCGGCAAGAGTTCCTTACTGAACCCCATACATTAATCATGCATAGACTGTTACAAAGAAACCGTTATATTTAGTCTTTATGAAATTAATGCATAGTTCATGTACAGGGTAAAATGGAACTCTTTTCCCATGCCGCTTCCTCATTTAACTGCAAGGTATTGTTCACCTGTTATTTGGTTACCACCGAGAGAGACCATAGAACTCAAAAAGCTAGCTAACCAGCATGTACAAGGGGATCAATTTTAGCCGGTCCCGCGCAAATTTCCCGCGCAAAATTTTAACAAACACAATGATGTCAACCGCTGTCACGCAAAATATGCCAAGAAATTTTAAAAGTTCATTCACCGAATCAAAATATGGCGTCCAATTTGAATTACCATTGTTTTTGACTTAGTAGCCTCGTCTTCGTGTGGAAAACACAAAAGGATTATCACATGTGTGAGAGGCTAGTAAGTCCAGAACAATGGCAATTCAAATTGGACGCCATATTTCGATTTGGTGAAAAGAAATCTGTAAAAAGTGGAAAAAAGCTGGGTGAAGGAAATTCGATGCTTTCTGAACATAAAGCTTATTTGATAGTGGTTATCCTGATTATTTACCATTTTGTTTTAGGCTATATCTAAAAATTCAAACGATTTTACGAAAAAGCTGGAACTGACTGGCGTCTATGTGTGTTTATAACTCCCAGATGATAACTTGGTTCTGAAATCCTGAAAATACATGCGCATACGTTTGACCTGCGTTAAACAGGCTAATAATGAATGAGAACATTTCCTAAATATTTTTAGGTCTCAAGCTATGACATTAAAAGGCGGTTACAGGAAAATCTACGGTGATGACGACAAGGAAGTCAGTTTTGCTTCTTCTCTTTTTTTTCGTTGGATGAACGGAGTCCTTAAGGAGGGCAGTCAAAGACCTTTGGATCAAAGCGACTTTTTACCCTTGTCAGACGAGACCTCTGGCCGTTTTGTCACCGAGAAGCTCCGAACAAGCTGGGAAAGCAAGAAACATCATTGCAAGATACATGGGAAAAGGTCTAAACTTTGGAAAAGCGTGTTTGATATGCTTTCTGTCAAAGATGTGATCATCATTTTGACGGGGAATGTATTGTATACAACTTCTCGCCTTTTGTTTCCATTGTTTCTCGGATATTTCGTTTCTATGCTTATGTCAGCTGAGGCAGAGAATACTTACCTGATTTGCGCTTGCGCATTAGCTATGTGTCTCAACGGTTTGATCGGTGGTCTTGGTATGCACCAGCAAGACTACAAATGTGAAGTGTTGGGGATCAAAATAGGCAGTGCCCTGAGGGGACTGGTGTACCACAAGGTAAGCACGATCTTAGAGAGTATTCTACTCCTTTGTCGTAGAGTCAATAAGCCTTTATCCATCCGATCCAGAATTACTTTTTTCCAGAAACTTTAATCAACAGCAATCAACTTATGCTATAGTGAGACCCAGAAGGAGAGGATCATTGAAAGCAAATAATTAACAAACAGTAACTTACTCTAAAATTAATGGAAAAGTATGCTCTAAAAAAAATAAACCAGGGCTCGACACAAACTTTTCAACTCATTAGCCAAGTGGCTAGTGGATCTTAGATGTTACGACAATTTCACTCTGTTTACTAGCCAAACTGGCTAATGGAAATCAAAAACCACTAGCTAAAACTGAATTTCTACTACTCTGTGGCTGGTTGGCCACCGTTAGTGTAGAGCCTTGTAAACCTTTTATTAAATAATGAAAAAGTACATTCAGAATTGTAAACTCTTACGGCTTTAGAGCCTTCAAAGAGTGACCTTATCCTCCGAAAATTTTCTTCCGAAATGTACTGATATCTCTCCATGGTCTTAGCCTGACCCAAAAAATTTCCTCTGTGGCTATCACAAGAAATAATTATTTGAGTCAAGAAAGCCCTTTTTTGTAGCTCTTTCTTGTTCAAGTAGATCCCGCCCTCGAGAGGAAAAAAAGAGAATGTTACTAACATACGTCACTGGTAAACGGCCGCCCTGCTGAGCGAGATTCAAATTTCCGACTGAGTTGTCGCATTTAGGACTCCATTGAAGATACTTTAAAAAGTTCGGTACAAGCTCGATTATTCTCGTCTCCAAACGTGCTTATGGTTATCTTCTGTGGAGGAGATTAAGACCGTCTAGGTTTTGAAACATGCTTACTCTTTAATGTCGAATCTTCACTCTTTTTCAGACGCTTCTTCTCAGCAAGCAGACGCTACTGGAATTCACTGCAGGACGCTTATTTGACCTGATATCTAATGATGTTAAGAGAATGGAAGAAGAGACAGTCAAGTTTTTTTTCTTAACACCTTTTGCTGTCCTTTCCTATGCAGGAACAATATTCCTTATCTACAGTTTGATTGGTTGGCAGGCTACTACGGGTGTGTTTTTTCTGTGTATTCTCATTCCATACTTTGCCGTCTTGTCCTATGCTAGTGCCAAGTTGCGCTTGCGCACAGCTACAGTGTCTGATCAGCGAATCTCCCTAATGAATCAAGTAGTTTCCGGAATCCGCGCGGTCAAGACGCATGCGTGGGAGGACGAATATCGGCGAAAAACAAAAGATATACGAAGGTAAGGTAAATAATCATGTTTAGTCTTGAATTGGTTCCAACAACTATGTGGTGTAAGCTGCAGTAAATATATGCATGAACTACTTTAAACTTAATTATCGTATCTCTCAGAACGCCGCTATGATTGGCTGATTTAAGCGCCGATCAACTCGATGTTTAAGCCCGGGCAACCTTCCGGGCATTTGACCTTTCGAACGTCGGTTCACTCAAATTCATGCTCCTCTGCGCTTATAAATTTGCACTGAATTTCAAAATGACTGATTCGCGTTTTTTCAGAGTTGCCGAGGAAGGAATTTTTTGCTGTCATATTCTAGTGGAAAATAGCTCCTTAACTTGATATAAGTAATCAAAACAATTGTATCAAAAAACGCGCAAAGTTTTCTTTATTTACAGAATGGTAATAATAACAGAGTGAATTTGCAACAGAATTCGAAAGCTCCTGAGCAGTTATACTAAAACAATCATTCGCCTCAAGCTCACTAAATAGTTTTGAATAATTCCCTCGATTTCGTCTTAAGGATTTTTAAATGTATTCACTTCGCCTTCAACGAATCATTGTTAAACCATAATTTGTAGAACATTTCATTGAGCCAAACTCGTGTTTCGGGGTGCCTTTGATTTTCATGCATGGTGCTTGGGTCACAGGAGACTAGCACTTCTATGACGAAGAGGACGATGGGAAATTTTTCAAAGGCAGGGTACACTTATCACGCGCCCACCTCAATAATATTTCATAGTAGAGAGTAGACTGGGGACGAGTAGGCTCGAGAGAATGCCCACAGAACTTGCAATGATCTCTTATCTTCAGAAATGAAATCAGCGTCATTTCGAAGAGGACAGCCATTCAGTCAAGTCTAGATGCCTTGTTGTACAGTGCAACGCCCCTAGCAACTCTGGTGTCAGTAATTACTATGGTGCTCACAGGCCAGACCCTCACACCTGCTAATGTTTTTATGCTGCTGTCGTTTATGGGTTTTCTAAAACTTGGTGGCATGAGGTATGTGATATATGGTTTCCTGACAACATATGACGCGTACGTTTCCCTTGAAAGGATCGAAGAATTTCTTCTCTTGGAAAATTTATCGGCAGCCTCGGAGGGTGATGAAAGTAAGAAACGCCAACAAAAGGTCGAGAGTACCTCCACTAAACAAAGTAGCAGTTGCTTGAAAAAAGAAGCCGAAAATATGGAGAACGTCTCACTCTCTTGTGAAGCAACAGAGCTAGGGCCAACTGATCTATGCGTGTCAAATTTAACCTGCGCAAAAAACCATCGTGAAGATGAAGTTATTCTTCAGGATATCAACTTTGTTGCACCTTCAAAGAGTTTAACAGTTATCACCGGGCCGGTTGGAAGTGGTAAGTCTACTTTACTCTCAGCGATCGCTGGTGAAATTTCCGACACTAGTGGGACGATTTTTTATCGAGGTAATGTCATTTACTTGCCTCAGACTGCTTGGGTGTTCTCGGGAACGATAAAAGAAAACATTCTGTTTGGCCAGCCCTACGAGGAGTCCATGTACGAAAGAATAATCGAGGTCTGTGCTCTGAAAGAAGACTTTCAGCGGTTACCTGATGGTGACCAAACAGTTGTTGGAGAACGAGGTGAGGTTCTGAGTGGAGGACAACAGGCAAGAGTAAGTTTGGCTCGCGCAGTTTATGCTGACGGAGATTTTTATCTGTTGGATGACCCACTAAGTGCCGTCGATTTCAAAGTTGGCCAACACATCTTTAACAAGTGCATCAAAAATCTACTGGCTGATAAAACTGTTCTGTTAACCTCTCATCAGCAACAGCACATGGAAAATGCCGATGAAGTAATTGTGTTGTACAAAGGGCATGTCCTGGGCAAGGGACGCTTTATTGAGCTGCAAGGAATAGGTGTCATCAATGCAACTTTTGACCCGCTCTATAAAGAAACTTTAGAGGACAAAACAGAATCATCTGAGACGTTTGCCTGGGAGGATACTGAGAAACACGATGATGCTGAAAAATGCCAGACAATTCATCCCCTGCCTAATGAAGCGAGGAGTTTGGAGATAGCAAAGGAGGATCGTACAATCGGAGTTGTGACGTCTAAGCTATACTGGGACTACTTCAGAAGTGGAGCACATCCTTTGATGATAACTGGAATGGTTGTTTTAATTCTCATTACTCAAGGTAAACTTATTGTTATACTGAGTTACTAGCTTTGAGTGAGGCCATTAAAGGGAATACAACCATCTTTTTAATATTACGTGCCAAAGCATTACAACTGTCGATTTATCCAAGATTATGAGTTCAAAGTAAAAAATGGAAATGAACTTGCATTAAAACCTTGCCTTGACACCCAGGGGGGCTTTTTGCGGTTTTCTGCAGAACAATTGAAGAACGAGCGTGAGGCACGCACGAGGAAAACGCGAAGGGTTAGACACGCGCTATTGGAGAAGCACGTGTCTAGCCGCTCTCGTTTGCCTCGTGCAGGTTTGCGCTGAAAAACATGAGAAACAGCCGGCTATTTTGCGGGCTACCTTATCAGCATTAAGCTTCCGAGAGCAGTTATCTTTTAATGTATACCATGGTTAACCTATTCATCTATCCTGACTTACTGCAGTGGTTACAGAAAGATCCTCAACCTGCAAACTTTTAGTAGTATTTAATGCAGGCAGCTAATATCTAGACCAAATAAATCTTGCGAAGTTCAACTAAATGATCTCATAGAAATATATTTTCAGTTACCGCATCTTGATGTCTTTTTCAGCCGTCTTAGTTGCTCCGGACTTGTGGCTCTCCTTTCTTGCAAGGCTAATCCCAGAAGATCAGAAGAACAGGACTTTTCTTTCTGTCTTCGCGTGTCTGGTTGGCGCGTGTTTTATATTTACTATCATTCGGGCTTATGGATTCCTCCTACTTTCTCTCAAGTGCGCCGAGCGTCTCCACGATAAAATGGTTGTGGCCATTTTACAAGCACCTGTCCTGTTCTTTGATTCAAATCCTGTGGGAAGAATCCTAAATCGCTTCTCGAATGATATTGGCTGCGTGGATGAGTTGTTACCCAAAACATTCCTGTGGGCAATACAGGTGCTCTTGCTGATCTTTTTCCAAATTCTGGTAACAGTTGCCACAAATTTTTGGCTCGTTTTTGTTGTTGTTCCAATTTCCGTGTTGGTCGTTGTTCTTTCCAATTATTACTTGAAAACGGCCAGAGAACTGAAGAGGTTAGAGTCGATATCCCGCAGCCCAGTGTTCGCTCACTTTTCGGACACTCTGGTTGGATTGGACACGATCCGTACAAGAGGAAGACAGACAGATTTTGTAGCCGCGCTATACAGGTACGT